TTTCAGATCATTCATGGAAACTGTTGAGAAGATTGCAATCTGGGATTGTAAAGAATTAACATTAGGGTAAGAAAAGTTAGGGGCTGTGGTGGCTCAGAGGTTAAGATGTTGAGTTACAGACCGGAAGGTCAGTAGCTCGGCAATTCGAGACCCGAGTGCTGCGTGACGGAGTGAGCTCCTGTCTCTGGCCCCAGCTCCTGCCAACCTAGCAGTTCGAAAGCAAGAAATTACAAGTAGATAAATAGGTACCACTTCGGTGGGAAGGTAACAGCGTTCTGTGTGCCTCAGCAGTTAGTCGTGCTGGCCACATGACCACAAAGAAGTCTTTGGACAGCACGGGCTATTCAGTGCGGAAATGGAGATGAGCACCATCCCCTAGAGTCAGTCAACTGGCTATGAGCAAGGGGAACCTTTACCTAGACTTAAGAAAAGTTCTCTTTGAGGTAACTTGTGTTAGTATTTATTGAGATTTCTGGTTTGGGTACTAGTTCTTTTTTGGATAAGGAACTAATGGTGAACTTACTTATCTTTTGGACTTTTGGGAGAGAGTATTTTTCCTCTTGTGTTGAGAGGAGTTAGTGGAGAGTTTCTGTTTTGGAGACTAGTTTTCTTGGTTGAGGAACCAGTGGAGAACTTATCTTGTGGAATTCATTCATTCATATTTGGAGGATCTGTCCTCTCAAGTTGAGAGGAACAGTAGAGGATTTAACTTTTAGGAATTCGTTCTTTGGAGGTCTTTGTTGTACTTTGGGGAATATATCATCTCAGGTTGAGGAATCTATAAGAAGTCAAAATGAAGGCATGAGCCTCATTCTCCTAAAATTTTCATTGTTGCATTTGTTGTTGTTGTTCAGTCGCACAGTCGAGTCCGACTCTTCGCGACCCCATGGACGAACTCTCGCCAGGCCTTCCGGTCTTCCGCCGTCCTCTGAAGTTGGCTCAACTTCATGTTCGTTGCATCGATGACACTGTCTAACCATCTCATCCTTTGCCGTCCCCGTCTTCTTTGACCTTCAATCTTTCCCAGCATCAGGGTCTTCTCCAGTGAGTGCTCCCTTCTCATTTGGTGGCCAAAGTATTTGAGCTTCAGTTTCATTATCTGGCCTTCCAGGGAACAGTCAGGGTTGATTTCTTTGAGGATTGACTGATTTGATCTCCTTGCAGTCCAAGGAACTCTCAAGAGTCTTCTCCAGCACCATAGTTCAAAAGAATCTATTCTTCGGCGCTCGGCCTTCCTTATAGTCCAACTCTCGCAGCCATACATGACTACTGGGAATACCATTGCTTTGACCATGCGGACTTTTGTTGGCAGGGTGATGTCTCTACTTTTTATCATGCTGTTTAGGTTCGCCATCGCTTTCCTCCCAAGGAGCAGGCGTCTTTTAATTTCATGACTGCTGTCACAGTCTGCAGTGATCTGGAATCCCAGGAACGTGAAGTCTGTCACTACTTCCACAGCTTCCCCTTCTATTTGCCAAGGAGTGATGGGGCCGGATGCCATGATCTTAGTTTTTTTGATGTTGAGCTTCAAGCCCACTTTTGCGCTCTCCTCTTTTACCCTGAGCAAGAGGCTCTTTAGGTCCTCTTCACTTTCTGCCATTAGAGTGGTATCGTCTGCATATCTGAGGTTGTTGATCTTTTCCCCAGCAATCTTAATTCCCGCTTGTGATTCATCCAGGCCAGCATTTCGCATGATGTACTCTGCATATATATTAAATAAGCAAGGTGACAATATACATCCTTGTCGTACTCCTTTTCCTATGCTGAACCAATCAGTTGTTCCATATCCGGTTCTAACTGTTGCTTCTTGGCCCTTATACAGGTTTCTCAAACGTAAAGTAATTAAATAATATTGGGGTTGTGTCTGGTTCCATTCACATGGGATTTTTCTGCTTTTGCAATGAGGATAAAAGATCTCTTTTAACTTAAGGTTAACTGATAGCTAACATGGACAGTAGGTTTTATGCACCACATGACCACCACCACCAGCAGGACAACTTTACCCTTCTCTCTTATTACCCACACTCTAATGTGGCCAAACCTACTCCTTCCCTGTTTCTTCCTTCCTCTGATTTCTCTAGGACTGATATGAAAGTGGCAGACCTGATACACAGAACCAACAAGCAAAGGAAGGAAGATAAGTAAGAAGGGTGGTGAATCTTCCTTTTGTGGCAGTTCACGGAGCCCCACCTGGTACTGCAGTTGTATTAAAAATCAGAACAGTTGATACAAACAAGGTTGTAACATGGACAAAAAAAATGTAATATAAAAAAATAGCAGTGGAAGATTTTAGCAATGATGCCGTCTGAACAATGAATCATCTGGATTTTAGACAGTAACAGAGAAAATGAATTATATCATTCAGGCAGACAAGGCCAGTCGAAACCAACAAAGTCCTGCTATGTATACATCAAGATTCCAAATCACATGTCTTTGCTGGTAACTTTTAACATACGAGGGCAGCCCAAAGTTGTTGGTATTTTTTTGAGTGTATGTGTCAGAACATTCTGGACTTTTTCAGGATGCAAGTGCAGGAAGAACCCACAAAAACAGGTCAATGAAAGGCATATAACACCATTTTCCCAGTTGTTTCTGGAGGACAACATTGGATAATCGTCTCACCTTGTGTTAATATACAGTACATTGTGGGAACTTTACCTGCCAAGGCTGGATATCTTGGAGTCTAACACTTTTCCCAGTCATGGAATTAGATGTAGTCATGGTGTTCAAAACATGAGCTATGGCATAGACAGCACTATAGACACTGTAGCTGTGGCCAGTCATCTGCATTTCAAAAAGAAGCCCAGGAAGACTCTCTGGTTTCTCATCTCCAGTGCATATGTCATTGACCTCCATTGGTCCATGGAGATTTGGAAATGAACAGTCAAACACTTGCTCCCAAAATTCCTTGATGAAACCATTTTGTTTTTCCTGATAAGGTCTCATGCCATGAAGATATTTCTTGAACTGTGGAAACTCATTTGAGTGAATTGTGAAAGATATGGCACCATGGAACACATCAAAATTCCAATTCCTTTGAGCTCCGGATAACATGAAATCAACTTGAGCTGTCAAAATCCACACTTTGCTCAATGATCTATTTCCCCCATATGCAGGATTTCCTAAAAAGATCAGCGTATTCAGTGATAGGATGGTTAAAGGTCCTCCATAGAGGATAAGTGTATTGACTTTTCTATCTTCAAAAGGTTGATATATATCTTTGACTAAATTAATAATGTCCCCCCAGGAATCCCATTTTGCTTGGTTTACTATTCTCTCTGTGAAGGCTGAACAGATTCCACTTTGGAAAAGCAATGGCTCAAGGGTCTTCAAGAAATGCTCCCCAACATCATCATCTGCAGCAAGGAGGCCAACCCACGTCCATCCAAAATGGATCAGTAATTGGGTGATTCCTGTATACTGTTGGTTTTCATTTGGGACCATGCGGTAGAAGGAAGGAAACTCTGTTGCATCCCTCTCCTTCAAGGGAAATGAGCCATATGTGATCTAAAACAAAAGGTTTTAGAGATGGATTAGGAGACCATGCATGGTTATGTGCCTCATAAATTTGCTGAACAAATTATTCATCGTGAACAAAACAAAGCTCATTAACTGAATCCAAAGTTTCCTTTGAACAAATAAGCTTTCCCCTACTGCAAGGTTTTATGTGCTGAAAGAGGCATATGTCTCTGGTGGAAGGCTATTTACATTGGAGCAGTTCTCCTCTTCTAGTTCAATGCAACCTTTGGGTCCAAACCTATGATACCTGTGTGCGATATTTTTCAATGAATGTGAACATTGTACAGTTCCTGGAAAAGAAAGAAATATCCAGAAAGTTTCTTACATTAACTTTGTACTTTATTTCTTCTCTTCCTGTTTGAAATAACTCAGTTATACTGTTCCTTCTTTCCCTCAAAATCATTCCCTGAGTTTCAAAAAAAGAAAGAAAAGATTTATGAAATCACTCAAAATTCCATCCATGAATCATACCTGTGGAATTTTGTAGAGTCCTAAGATGTCTGCCATATGGAAGGAGATATCAGCACCAAGTCCTCCAATGCTAGCTATTACATTTTTCTGGATGTCACATTTGTAATTAGGAAGAAATCTCTGTGATTTGAAGAGCAGGTCCAGAGTGTTACGGTAGGTCATTTTCATATCAAAGTAGCTGTCATAGATGTGGAACCCAAGGGTGATATTCGGCAAGATCTTGGGGTTCTCATTGATCTCATTTATGGCAAAGGCCAATGCTAGGTTGTGCTGGTAGTACTTTAATACCATACTTAAAAGAGAGTGAAATGATTGTTTGTCAGAAAATTCTACCTTAGGCCAAGTCATTTTACCATAATGCTAGTCCATTTTGGTTCTGATTTAAATGCAAATATATCATCCTTATTATGACATTGCTGTATTGGTGTATTGACCCCAATAACAATTATGATGGTTCTACTACTATATTTTACTTGGTTTGTTTCTTTCTTTGTTTTAATGTCAGAGATTTCCTTGTAAACTGGGAAATCAGCCAAAAGGGCATATCAAAGAAAAGAAGTTTGCTCCGCTTTTCTTGGTGGTCATTTCTTTCTGCCTCAAACTTCAGTTCTGAATAGTGAGAACAGTGTCACAGCTTGTAGTAAGGGCAACCTGAAACAAGTTGCTAGTTCATCATTACACCATAGTCAGGAACTCGTTTGAGGGCACAAGATTCTATTATGTTATACTGAGAGCTATGGAGTTAATTTCAGAGGGTAGCCATGTTGGTGTCCACTAGAACAGCTAGAGTTAAGTCCAGAAGCACCACAGAGCTTGTATCTGACACAGGAAGCATTGATTCTCAAAAGCTTACAAGCCCCCCATAAGAACATAAGAACATAAGAGACGCCAATGTTGGATCAGGCCAAAGGCCCATCCAGTCCAACACTCTGTATCACACAGTGGCCAGAAATACCAGTGCCATCAGGAGGTCCACCAGTGGGGCCAGGACATTAGAAGCCATCCCACTGTTGACCCCCCCAAGCACCAAGATGACAGAGCATCACTTGCCCCCCAAATATTGTTGGTCTCAAAGGTGCTAATGGGATTGAATCTAGCTGAGGCCTATCAAGTCATGGTCATATCCTGCTCTACCCAAAATGGTATCTGATGCCCTATGCCATCATATGCCATTCAGCTACCATTAGGATCTGTTTGTCCCATACTCTGAGCCACGATACAGAAAAAAAAAAGCTGGAAGCTCAGGCATCGCTTTGCAGTGTCCTTTTATTGTTACATTATTTCAAATCACTTATGTCCCCCAATCCCATTCTAAAATGATTTTATGAAATGTCACCGTATATCCTGTTGCCTCTAATGATCTCTTAATAAAGCGGGGACAAATCCTAGGAAATCAAATTGCAGAACTATGGAGCAACACTTTGGAAAACAGAAATCTAGAATACATGAAAGATGCTGCTTTGTTCAGGGGTATTTAAAAAGAGGCAGATGATATTGCTGTGAAAATAAGCCATGGGAAAATACCACTGAAACAAGGATGACTGTAAATTAACAACAATTTCCTATAAAGAATAGATTAAATAAAGTGTTGTGCAAGATATTATTTGACCCCTACCATAACATAACACTGGCTAGACAGATCCTATCAAATCTTGGAAGCTAAGCATGGTTGGCTGTGTTTACTATTTGAATGGGAGACCACTAAGGGTCACTAAGCAGAGGCAGGAAATGGTAAACCACCACTGAATGTCTCTTGCTTTGAGAACCCTATGAGGTTTTTAAGCCAGCTGTGACCAACATAGTAATATGTCCAGTCTTGAGGGTTTTCCCACCTCTCAAAGGTTGGTAGAAGCTTTTATGATATGCAACAAACATGGGGTCATATCTTGAATAAATCAGTGTTTGAAAGTTATTAAAAATCAAATACTTAGGGCTCTGCAAAACAGCTCTTGAGTTTTACAGTGATCCTTACTCAGTTGTTTAAAATTTGATTTGCCCGTTCCCCCCCCCCCTTTCATCCTTGCTTTGTGATTTATGGATTTTTCTCCTTTGCACGTATTTTACGGTCTCTCATGGATCTGACTTCTAATATCTGGTTTTGTTTCCCTTGATCATTGATTGTATTTCTTGTCACTTTGTTGTCAATATGCACACATGAAACTGCAATGTCATCTGAGTGAAAACATTCAATCTGCTTTTTTCACTTCCCACTTCCACCTTGCAAGCAGGGGCAACTTCTGTTATGGGAGAAGAAAGCCTAGGTGTTCTGGCAACAAAACGGAATGCACAGAATTGCAAAAGATGAACACTGGGGTGGCTCTGGCCTATCCCTTCCATACTTGGAGCAGCCGGACACTTTTATACAGAATTATTAAATTCGACAGGTGGCCAGATTGCATTATGAGAGAGGAAGAGAAAACAAATCTTACACTGTATCATTAAACAGGTAGTCAGAAGGAGGTTTATCAAAAGGCAAGGTGTGCAAAGTATACATAACCTGAGAAGCAATCCCACCAATAAGGAGGTCCCCTGACTGATACCACTCATGTGGAACAGGAACTGGTTCATCCTTAGGGCTATTCCTGTTATATATTTTGCATGGAATCGGAGGCAGTAGAAACAGGAACACCATTAGCTTCACCATCCTGGTGTGGAAACTTGCTGGACTTGCAAATACAACAGTTTCAAGCCTCAGAACAAAGTCTGAGTCCAGTGGCACCTTTAAGACCAACCAAGTTTTATTCAAGGTATAACCTTCCGGTGCATGCATTTCTGGTTTCCAGCCTGGTTTATCAAAGTAGAATGTGAGATGTCAAACCGACTGAACCCTTCCTTGCCTTTCCCCCACCTCTCTGTGACACAGGAGTTTATATAATTCAGACTGATGAAAAAAAAATCATTGTCTGACACATTCTGTAAAGTCACTGCAGCTTTGATTAGGTGAACCGATTCTATTGATTGATATGGATAATTGCAGGTACTTTGATTAGGTGAACCGATTCTATTGATATGGATAATTGCAGGGGGAGATTCTTTTGAAAATTGCAGGGGGAGATTCTATTCATATGGATAATTGCAAGGAAATACTAGATTATTCCTGTCCCCGACTGTTTTTCACTTGTTTTTTCCAGGCCTATTTACCGCTGATTTTTTGTGGAACAAGAAATACTCCTCCGTCTTAAGAGTTTTTAAATGATGGAACTGACATTAGGAGAGCCAAAGTTCAATGTAATCCACAACAGTGGTCAGGATTTGGAGTCTAATGAAAGTGCTGTTAGACAAATGGCATGGCTATTTAATCCAGAATATGTGAGATAGATATTATCATTATAGGTCTGATCAGGGCAATTCATGCCCATGGGGAGAGTAACTCTAAAGCCACTCACCCTTCCTAACCCCATATATCCTAGAAAGGGAGGGGACAGATGATGTAATAAAAAATTGTCAAGAGATGATTGACACCAACTGAACCTGAGTTTGCATCAATCAACTCAAGCACATTCTGTCTGTATAGAGGATATGCTTCTAGGATTGTGAAATAGATTTTCTTTAAAGTAAAAACAAACAAAACCCTAGATAATCTCTATTAGCATCTCAGAATAGGAGGAATAATACATAAATAAAGGAACAATAATAAATACAGTATGATAACGTATCATACATTTGATGGCACATAAAGATACGATAGTTAGAAGAAGAGGAAGAGGATTGGGAAAGGAATGCTAGAGCGCAATTTCCCACGCAGTATATGCACAGTGTGTTGCTTTTGCATTAAAACAAATATATGTCAAGATTCATCTAAAAATAGATGTTACTATATAAGACCATTTGTGAATTGTAACTCTAAGGGGGCAATTTATGCTGTGCATAAACTTGATGCTGCGACAGAGCATGTATATCTAAGGTCATAGGAGTGTAGTCTGTGCCTCTGTGTGTGGTATCTGTTTGTTGTATGTATTATCCTGCTCTTATGTGTTGCTTTCTACTTTTCTAATACCATTTTCTGAGTTGTTTGACAGATCATGTCTAATACGTTTTGCTTTGTTTCATATTTTTGTAAGCCTATTACTATTGCATTGATTATTTAGGTGCCTAATCTTATTGGTTGCATTGACATCCATGGTGCATGCCTCCTTCAGTCTCTGTGAGCAAGGCAAACTATAAATAATCTAAATAAACAAGAAAGGAATTTCTGATTAGCCATACATCTCAAGGCAACAGTTTCTCGCACGAAGCTGACATACCTTTATCTATCACTAAATTGCCTGTTGTTTTGCCTCTTAACACATACATAAGTGTCATTCAATCACAACCAACTAACAGCAAACCCAGAAAGGGGCTTTCAAGGCAAGTGAGAAGCTATTGATTTTCTTTGCAGAGTCTTCCTTGGTGGTTCCCATCCAAGTACTGACCCCACTAAGCTTCAAAGATCTGATGAGATCAGGCTATACCATGCTACTTTCGCTCCCCAAAAGCATCTTCTTTTCCCCAAAAACTTTTTATTTTCCATTTTTAATATATTGTACAAAAACCTTCTCTGGACCTGACGTTCCTTAATAACTACCACCGTTTCTGGGTAAGGTAATAGAGAGGGCAGTGGCGACAAAGATCCAGACTTTCTTGGAGGATGCTAAGATCCTGGGCCCCTTCCAGTCTGGCTTCCACCCAGCCCATGGGACAGAGACAGTGCTGGTCGCCCTGGTGGGTGACCTCTGGAGACACCTGGATCAAGGCAGATTGGTGCTGCTGATACCTCTTGATCTGTCGGCAGTGTTTGACATGGTTGATCATGATGTGTTAACCCACCGCCTCACTGACGCTGGGATACGGGGCTTGCCTTGCAATGGCTAACCTCCTTCTTTCAAGGTCAGGGACAATCAGTATGCAGATGACACCCAACTCTATTTACTGATGAATGGCCACCTGGATACGGCACCGAGAGATCTGGAGGAGGTGCTACAGGCTGTGGCTGGATGGTTACATCAGAGCCAGCTGAAGTTGAATCCATCTAAAACAGAGGTCCTGAACCTGAGTTGTGGAGAATTGGGACAGGAGATTAGGCTCCCAGTCTTTGACGGGGCTACACTGGTCCTGGAATCAAGGGTGAAGAGCCTGGGAGATCTCCTGGATGTCTCCCTTTCTGTGGAGGCCCAGGTCACTGCCACTGCCAGGACTGCCTTCCTCCATCTGAGGCAGATCAGGCGGTTGGCCCCATATCTCTCCTCCCATGACATAGCTACAGTGATCCATGCAATGGTCACTTCCAGACTAGATTATTGTAACTCTCTCTA